TATATATATATATATATATATATATATATATTTTGTTAAAATTGAACAACAATTTAAAAATAATTAAAGTATTCATATTTTAGTATATTTTGAAATATATATTACATTAATTTTATTTTATAAGAATGAAGTATCAAATCATCTTTGATTAATATAAAATTTTGTATATATGATCTAAGAGTAAAGAACTTTCAATCTAACGGTTGAATTTACAAAATTCACATTTAATATAAAGTTATTGAGTAGTTTAATACTTGATAAAAGTTACACCGGTATTATTATAATTCTCTTCTCTCTCTCTTTATATATATATATATATATATACATATATTTATAATTAAGCTATATTATCTCTCTTACAGTTCCTATTTTTTATGGGTAAATATTAATAATTAATATGTTATGTTAGTAATTGTTTTATCTCTAATATAGTTTTTTGTTTCATTCTCAATGATATTCATAAAATCATTCATAAAGAAAGTTTTTTCATGAAGATATTTATTGAACAACAAAAGTGAAGCATGAGCCTCGAAGTTTCTCAATTATATTTTCTTAATTTTTAATTATATATTATTTTTCACATGATAGTTATTGTATTTATTATTTATTATTAATATAAAAGAGACACTTCATATTTTTCATGTATTTTATTTAAAAAATAAAAATATATAATTGAAGTTAAATATAAAAAATAATTAATAATTAAAGGGTCTAAACAGTTTTGAGTAAATATAAAAATAAAATAAAATACAAAAAATAGAAAGTCACAAAATATAAATAGAAACAAATATGTACATATAAAATTATACATTAATATTATAGATTATAGATTAATATTATAGATTATATATTCGTACATCTCATTACTTATGTTATGGAATAATTAATTTGACAATTTTTTCAACTAAAATATAAAAAAAAAATGTATAAACAATCAAGATTAAAGGATTCAAAAACTAAAATTAAAACAAAACAAAAAAACTTAAAGCAATTTTTTTTAAAACTAAACTAAATTATGTTTTAATTATTACAAAAGCAATATATTTTATATTCAAAATATGTATTACACTATCATAGACAATTTTAAGATAATTTTGGAGGAAAAAAAATTGAAGGCAATTTTTTATTAAATGAAAAGTGATTAGAAACATTAATATACAATATATTAAATATAGTGGGGCAATTAAAATATAATAGTAATACGTATAACAATTTTAGTGGGGACATTTGCCTAAAATGTAGATCCGTCCCTAGCCTAATATGATTTGTGATTTATCTACAAAGTCCATAAATTTCAAACTCTTATTTAATAAAAAAAATGATATAAAGTTTATGCAGAAAAATAAATAAAAATAAAAATAGTTGTTTTGGATATTAATTAATTATTAAATAATCAGAAATGTGTAAGAGTGCCAGCGAGAGTTGAAAGTGCCGAAGTGGTTTCCCTCCCCTCTTGACTTGAAGCATTAAAAACGAAACGAAGAGTTCGATGATGCAATTTTGAAATTCTTCTCGCTTCCCCAAAACCCTACCCTTCAACTGCGATCGATTCGTCTTCTTTGCATTTGGTTTGATCGCAGCCACGTGTTTGAACTTGTAAGTTGTAGTGCTATTGCATGCATTAGCTTTGTTTGTGTTTGTGTTTCGCTGCTTAATTTTGTAAAATGTAGGTAACTTCGTTTCTGCTATTCTTCTTATTTGTTGTTGCATGTTGGGTCACATTCTTCATATTTTTTCTTCAAGTTAATGAATGGGTTTTTGAGAGCCTACTTTTCTATGCTTTTGTGTACTGTTGTTTGGAGGAGAGGAAAAATGAAGGTGTTAAATACAATTGGGGTTGTTTTCCTGCTCATTTCCTCAACAAAATCATTATCCTAATTAGAGCAACAACATATCTGTTCTGTTGTATCAAAACCTTCAATAATGTTTTGTTTAGTTTTTTTTTTTTTTTGTTTTTGTTTTTATAGTTGGTGTTTTAGGTTTTCACATATTATGATTTCTAGTTTTCTCTTTCTTGCTGGTTATACATTGTGATTGCGGTTGTTGGGAGTTGCGGTAATATACTTGATCGTCACTGTAATTTTGATGGATAAAAAAATTGTAGTTGAGGTTTTGCTGTTGTTCTTGATATTGTAGGAAATGACAGTAAATGCGGCTGCAATTGCGGTTGCGGGCCTTTTTTTTTTTTTTTTTTTTTTTTTTTTTTTTTTTTTTTTTTCATTTGCCTTGTGAATTTATGAAATTAGTGCATAGATATGAGTAAAACTGCTTGTGTATTAGTACTTTTATTTAAATGTTCTGTACATGTATTTAGTGACTGTCAAACTTTCTGTGAGAATGGTCGCTCCACTGCAACAGACAAGCACGATGGCCCTTGGAGCCTACAGGTCTCGCATAAGCTGTCTCTTTTGAACCATTTCAATGTGTGATACAAGAACAAAAACGATATACAGCATGATTCACATCGTTTTCCAATTCCATCTATATCGTATTGAGATTCATGCGATACTAACTACCACAGTGAATGCTAAACATAGAAGCGGCCAATACAAATTTGCGTATTTTTATTTTTAGTTTTTTCCCTTTTCTTTTTTTTAATTACAGACCCATGGTGCTTTGTGGAAATATTCTTCTTTTTTACACCAGCTTAATGTTATAATTTGTATATGACACTATCTTTTAGTGAAAAACTACATCTAAATATGCCACTACTCATAGGGCAGATAATGGGTTGCATTAGAGAACTTCCATGAGTGTTTGTTTCATATGGGTCAAACTAGCATTTGAATTACTTTTAGGCAGAAAAGTTGTAAGCATTTTTCTGAAAATTTTACAACTGTAACACTTCATGGTCTGTCATTTTGTGATTGATGTTTTTACACTGTCATTGGTAACAGATTATATCTGTTCTTTGAATTTTAAATATGGTCTGTCTTTTTGTGATTGATGTTTCACAGTGACATTTGTAGCAAAGGGAAGAATGACTGATAAAGTTCCTGATATTGAAGAGGCTGCTGAGCCTCCGGCTTCATTTGCTGATGTAGCAAAGGGAATAATGACAGATAAAGTTCCTGAGATTGAAGAAGCTGCCGAGCCTCCAGCTTCACGCCAATCATCTGCTGATGTGCTCCATAATTTGGAAACGGAGCAAATGGCTCCTACAAAGTATTCTATTATCAGTAGGAATGGGATTGGGACCACAGGGAAACGCATACCTTTACTTGTGAATCTTTTCAAAGTTGATGTTAATGCTCCAAATCCAGACACAATGTTTTTCCAGTATAGTGTATGTTTAGTATTTCCGTCTCTGCAATTTACCTTTTCTTAGGTTTTAGCTTATTCAAGGTTTTCCAGGTTACTATTACTTTCGAAGATAAAAGAGCTGTTGAAAGCAAGGGAATTTGGAGAAAAGTGATTCATAGACTTTACCAAATGTACTCTTCTGAACTTGGTGGCAAAAGGTTTGCCTATGATGGAGGGAGAGCTTTGTACACAGTGGGTCCTCTGCCGCTAAATAAATATGAATTCAAGGTGTTGCTGGAGGAGTCTTTTACTAAATGGTAACTCTTGTATGATTTCTTAGTTGTGTCATGTTTTATTTTCCCCTTAAAGCTTATGCTGTTTTTCAATTCTAGCAGTAGTGCTGAGAGTCCCGGTGTTAACGGAAGCCTCTGTGAGAAAACAAAAAGGTCAAAACATTCTTTTCAATCAAAGACATTCATAGTGGAGATTAGTTTTGTTGCCAAAATACCCCTGCAGTCCATTGCCCTCAAAGAGGTCGAGTCAGATGCTTTGAGAGTGCTTGATATTGTAATGAGGCAGCGCGCAGCTAATTGGTACCCATACATCTTCTAAAGATAAAATTCAAAGAAGTGTCTTCATGTTTTCTTGAATGGAATTTAAATTTTAACAACCTCTTTGGTCTAACTTAGTTGAGAACCATTTCTTTTGAATGTGAAGTGGGTGTCTCCTGGTAAGGCAATCTTTTTTTCATGATGACTCAAGAAATTTCACCGATATTGGGGCTGGTGTAACAGCAGTCTCGGGTTTTCATTCAAGTTTTCGTCCTACACAGCGAGGATTGTCTTTCAATATGGGTAGAACTGCTTTCACACATCTTGGAATCTTATTATCACAAAGTTGTATTCTTTTCCTCCTTACATTAATTTTTTTTTTCCCTAGATGTTTCAACAACTATGATCATAAAACCTGGACCTGTAGTTGATTTTCTGTTAGCAAACCAGCAAGTGAGGGAACCCCGTTATATTGACTGGGCAAAGGTGACAAACTTGTGCATATGGTTCATGAATTTGCATTAGTGATTACCTGTGATGTTATTTCTTTGTAATCTGTAGGCCAAAAAAATGCTTAAAAATTTAAGGGTGCAAGCAACTCATAGTAACCAGAAATTTAAAATTTATGGCTTCAGTGAGAAACCATGCATTCAACAACTGTAAGTGCTCTTTTTTATTTTTTATTTTTTTATTTTTTAAAGTCAAGTGTTTATTATATTTACTTGAAAAAGGGAAAACAAAAGCGTATGGTTCTTGACCCAAAAAAACTATTGAGCCCGATTTCTTTTGCAGTTTTAGTATGAAGGTTAAAAACGATAATGGCAATAATGAGGGGCAGACAGTAGATATTACTGTATATGAGTATTTTGCCAAACATCGTGGCATAGAGCTGACCTCATCTGCTTATCTTCCATGTCTTGATGTAGGGAAGCCAAATCGGCCCATTTACCTTCCCTTGGAGGTTTGCTGATTTTTGATCTTGGCTAAACATTGTTATGGTTCTTATTTTATGTCAATTATATTATTTTGCTTCAACAGTTTAGCCCTTTGGACCAATTATATCTGATTATTTTTTTCTTCCTTTTTCTTTACTATTGGTGGAGTAGCTATGTGCACTTGTTTCCCTCCAACGGTATACAAAGGTATTATCTCCAATGCAAAGAGCATCTTTAGTTGAAAAATCACGCCAAAAGCCTCAAGATAGAATCAAAATCCTGAAAAATGTAAGTTTATAATTATTGATATGTTGTTTATTATTATCTTTAATTTTTTAAACTCATTAAAATATATAGGCTGTAGGAAATTATTGCTACGATGATGATCCTGTTCTTGCTGCATGTGGCATTTCTATTGAGAAACAATTGACACTGGTTGAAGGTCGTGTTCTTGAGACACCAAAGGTACGCATTGGTCAATTATATATTTCACATTTTTGTGTGCACAGGATAAGGATATATAATTGAGGAAATAACAGAGAAAATGGTGAAAAGGAGTTGGTTTCTTTCAATTATTCGAGAATTAAACACACACATTGATGCAATTCTACTTGAGACAGTTGAAGGTTGGTAAGAATGATGATTGCTTCCCCAATAGTGGAAGGTGGGACTTTAATAAGAAGGTATTGCATTACTTTTACATTTAGAAAGAATTCAAGACTGCCTTTTTTTAGAGTTATCTGAAATTTGGTTTACTAGTTTATTAATCAATGATGTTATACTTGCTTTTTATAGACACTTCTACAACCATCGCATATCGATTTTTGGGCTGTTGTAAACTTTTCTGCACGTTGTGATACTAGTTACATTTCAAGGGAGCTGATCAGATGTGGAATGAGCAAGGGAATTGTATGTTACCTGTCATTAAATTCTTATGTGAGATGCTATATACATCTGCTTTTTTCTTGTTTTTGTATTTGATTAATCTGTTTCAAATGTACTTAAATACCTACACAGAACATTGAAAGGCCATATACTTTGATAGAGGAGGAACCACAGTTGAGAAAATCTAATCCTGTTACAAGGGTTGAAAGAATGTTTGACCTGCTTGCATCAAAACTTACAAGAGAACCGAACCTGATTCTTTGTGTTCTGCCAGAAAGGAAAAATTGTGATATATATGGTATATATTTAGCAAATGTTTCAATAGTTTCTTTTACATCAAATCTTTTTTATTCGACTTATGATCATTCATCAACTTTAGGGCCTTGGAAAAAGAAGTGTCTGAGTGAAATTGGTGTTGTCACACAGTGCATTTCCCCTCCTCTCAAGATCACTGATCAATACCTTACTAATGTACTTCTTAAAATCAATTCTAAGGTAACTGAGTATTTTATAACTGCAATAGTTGTACAAACATAAGTTATTTTGACTTGGTAACATCATGCATATTGCATAGTTAAAATAATTTCTCATGCCCTAAATATAGCTTGGAGGAATAAATTCTCTGTTGGCAATAGAGCATTCTGGGCATCTTCCCCTGATTAAAGATACCCCAACAATGATTTTGGGGATGGATGTCTCTCACAGTTCACTTGGTCGATCAGATATTCCATCAATTGCAGCTGTAAGGCTAGTTTGGCTTTGTATTTCCCTTATCTTTGTTGCTACTGTTACAAAAAAGCTAGATTTTTCTAGTACCTTTATCTGTTTGGACATTTTGTTATCTCTGCAGCATATTATTCTGGTGTATAATTGTAGGTTGTTGGATCTCGACATTGGCCACTGATTTCAAGGTATAGAGCAACTGTGAGAATGCAGGCATCTAAGTTGGAGATGATTGATGCTCTATTCAAGCCATTGGAAAATGGGAGTGATGATGGTATTATCAGGTTAGAGTAAAAATGTACAGTAGAGATGTAGATATTAAACACGTTCATAGTCTGAATTCATTTCTCAGGGGACCAGCACCATATACAATTTGTGAAGTTTTTTATTTCTTCCAACAAATTAGCTTTCAAAAACATTTTCAATTCTTCCTCAATAGATTGGGCTTGAGTGTCATATGAAATCATATAATGTTTGGTTTGTTTTAGAGAGGTTAGTTTTTGTGGAGAATCATATAGATGCTGAATAACATTAGCAAAGATACTTTAGGAATTTTTCCATAATGAGTTGCAAGTTTTGAAGTTCTTGGTAGTTTCTTATATGTTTGGCTCCACAGATTGCTATTGCACAAGTCATCTGAAAATCAAGCTTCTTCCACTGATCACTCTGTTAACACTTCCCTGAGTTCTTTTTGTAAATAATCATGATATCCCTGACAAGAAACCATGATTCCACATAAGCAAACCAAGACATAATTTTTCGCATTGAGTTTCTTTGAGGTGATGGAGGGGGGTCCCAGAGATCGAAAAAATATGACTAGAACTCAACATTTTCTTCTAACAAGGTTCTAAATAAAGATGGGGTACATGTTGACGGTTTTAGACTCATGGGACATAAAGATCCAAATTGATTAATTGTAGTCAGTTTGGATTTGTTTGGTTTTCTTTTTTTGTCATCAACTCAAATCGAACCAACCCGACTCATGTTCGGTTGGTTGGGATCAGATTATTGGATTTATTATTAAAATAATAATGGAACATGGCAAAAATTGAATCCACTCATATTTCCTAATAGAATATTTTAGATGGACCCTAATGTTTCCAACCACGCTACACCTAGAATAATATCCACACCTCCGAATCCCAACACATAAGCATCCAAGGTCACCTCTTGTTCCCCTATGTGCAAGATCAACCCAACACTTTTCCCATAGTCATAGCTCGTTGTCCATCCCCCAACCAAATGCCCCCTGCTTTGGATGAATCCATTTATGAACCCAAAGTGGAAACCACTACCGGAGTAGTGAAATTGTGGGTACCACTAACAAAAAGCACCTGCAGGGAAATGCCCTCCAAAGTACCCTCCAAATTAGAGTCCATATACAATATTCTATCATTTCACCCTTCAGTTTGTTTTGGATCATTCAGGACCTATGTCCACCCCTAGTTCTAGAAAGTAATAACTTCTAGAACACCAAAGTATAATCAGACCCACCATGCAGAGATTAAAACTTAAAAGGCAAATTGAGGCTTGAAAGAGGACCAAAAGGAGCTCTATTTACAAAAGGCAAAATTTAATGTAGTAAAAATGTTACATTACCTCTATTTTCTTATATAATGCAGTAAAACTCTTTCATTCTTAAATGACATTTATAAATATTTTCAAAAATATTTATGACCAACCAAATAGATTTTGATCATTCCTAGGAATCATGATTCTCATTCATGAAAATCTTTTCAGTATACCAAATTCCCCCCTTAAAGATAATTTAACATCCCTAATCTTTTCTAGATCTATATGTACCACACTCCTTCCAAGCTCTGTCTACAATAATACACAACATACTTGCCTCCAACTTTTCCCAAGTACTAAAGTTTAATTCTGTAGTGTCTATAGCTTTTTAGCTTTCTTTTCCAATCCATTTAGTTTCTTGAAGACACGTGATCTTAATCATTTGCTGAATCATGGTGTCCACCGTCTCCAAAGACTTCTATCTGTCAAAGTGTATCAAACCTAATCAAACACTACTGAACTAGTTTCTGTTCCCTCATTCATCCAGAAAAAAAATGTGAGTACTCTTACTCATTTAATACTACATTCAGGTGCTGATGTACTGATTCTAGCTCATTTTACATTGTACATGAGCCATACATCACATTACTTTGGGTAACGGCATAGCATTAACACAACCAGTCATGAGTGATCCATTTGTGGGGTTTCAACAAGTTTTACAGTGGTTGTTAAGCAACCCTCCTTTAACTAGTCTTTGAATCAGCTATGATACCTGTTGGAAATAGGAGTATTTAATGATTATTACTCTTCCTATACACCCCTTCATCAAGTGCGAAAATCGCATGCAGAACGGCCCGTTCTAAAATCAGAACGGCCCGTTCTGGAACGCATCCAGAATGGCCCGTTCTCTCTCTAGAACGACCCGTTCTCCCTCCAGAACAGCCCGTTCTCAACCATGATATACAGGTCATTTTCATAGCTTGGAACGGCCCGTTCCAGATTGGGAACGGCCCGTTCTGGGTTACTGAAACACCAACATGCTACGTCACAACAATATCTTTTGCCTTGGTTTGATCTTTGTTGTTTAGGTGAACCTCATGAACACAAAGTGCTCCAAGAAGTTCATCAAGAGTGAGGACTTTTAAATCTCGGGCTTTAGAGATGGTGGTGGCTTTGGACTCCCAGACCTTAGGAAAATTGTCTAGGATCTTGAGATTATTCTAGGCTTTGGAGATTTAGTTCCCAAGGATTTTAACCCATTTGAAATTGTTTGGAATCTTCCAAACATTTCATTAATGGTTTTGTTCTCTTTCATATAGAATAACTCATAGTGCCTCTAAAGAGTGGCAACTTGTTTGAGTCTGATATCTTCAATGCCCTCATGAGTTACCTTGATGGCATCCCATATTTCCTTTACAGTAGAGCAGTTGTAGAACTTGTTGTACTCAGTTCTGGATAGAGAACAAGCAAGTATATATCTTGCTTTAGTATTTTGTTGCAAGATGTTGTAATATTCATGAGTGTATTCATTTTCAGGCTTCGTCACCTCAATGTCACCTTGGGTGATAATCCTCCACAGATGGTACTAGGTGGATTTGATAAACATCTCCATCCTATCCTTCTAGTAGGGGCTCGGTATCACGCCGGGCGCAGTTATTCGCGTCGAGCGCGTGACCACTAGAGGGCTCCATTGGGCAAGCCCGCCGGGCATAGTGGTGTATGCGCCAGTGGAGCTTGAGGGTGTGAGCCTCTAGATGGCCCACGCCGGGCGTGGTTGGACCGCACTGGGCGCGATATCACACCAAAAGCTATTAAGAATGGAAAATAAATCTTTGCGTCATGAACGAAAGAGAAAAATCCTCAAAATCACGAAAAAGCAGATAGGAACTCTGAATGTGTTCTACTGCTCTGATTTAGCCATTGTTTTTCACCTTACCTAACAAAATGATGATAAGTAGCTGCCAAGATCAGATAAGAGATGAACATTTTCACGCAATGCATTAAATGCTTGCAATAATGACTAATTTACTCTCTCTCTAGTCTCAAAGAAAAGACAGACGAAACATCCTGAGAACATTGCTCAACGATCATTTTTTTCCAAGATACTATATCAGGGATTCTCAATCAAGACAAAAAGAAGAAAAGAAATAATAGACAAGAAACAAAGTTATCACCTTGTGAAAAATTTCAAACTGTATACCTTGTAGATAAGTTATGTCATGTACAATTTGTTTGTGCTTAGTTTTCATAGCGTCACGTCTAAAAGAGATGAAACTATCCTTGTTACTCCTTTCAAATTTCTATTTGTAAGGATTGAGCCTGGAGAGGCTTGTAGTTAAAAAAATACTTGGTTATTAAGCCTGGAGAGGCTTATTTGTTAAAGAATACTTGGGGTTGTTTGCTTAGAGAGGCAAGTAAAAGATTACTTGGGTTTGAGTCAAAAGTGGCTTGTTGAAATAATACTTGTATCTTGTGAAAGATAGTGGAACTAAATCTAGTTGGATTGAGAACTAGACGTAGTCTCTGTGTTTGAGATGAACCAGAATAAAAGAATTGTGTCCCTTCGTCTATTACATTTCATCACTACGTCTGTCAAGTTTTTACTACTTCATTGTTTTTGAAAGTGCGAGCTTTTGATATACATTTTTCAACCCCCTTCTAGTGTGTATCTTTTCTCCAACAATTGGTATTAGAGCAATGAAGGACAGTACATGCCAGAAGGAGCTTCTCTTACAAGGCCTTCAACCTTCAATGGAGAAGACTACCCCTACTAGAAGGATAGGATGGAGATGTTTATCAAATCCACCTAGTACCATCTGTGGAGGATTATCACCCAAGGTGACATTGAGGTGACGAAGCCTGAAAATGAATACACTCATGAATATTACAACATCTTGCAACAAAAACACCAACATGCTACGTCACAACAATATCTTTTGCCTTGGTTTGATCTTTGTTGTTTAGGTGAACCTCATGAACACAAAGTGCTCCAAGAAGTTCATCAAGAGTGAGGACTTTTAAATCTCGGGCTTTAGAGATGGTGGTGGCTTTGGACTCCCAGACCTTAGGAAAATTGTCTAGGATCTTGAGATTATTCTAGGCTTTGGAGATTTAGTTCCCAAGGATTTTAACCCATTTGAAATTGTTTGGAATCTTCCAAACATTTCATTAATGGTTTTGTTCTCTTTCATATAGAATAACTCATAGTGCCTCTAAAGAGTGGCAACTTGTTTGAGTCTGATATCTTCAATGCCCTCATGAGTTACCTTGATGGCATCCCATATTTCCTTTACAGTAGAGCAGTTGTAGAACTTGTTGTACTCAGTTCTGGATAGAGAACAAGCAAGTATATATCTTGCTTTAGTATTTTGTTGCAAGATGTTGTAATATTCATGAGTGTATTCATTTTCAGGCTTCGTCACCTCAATGTCACCTTGGGTGATAATCCTCCACAGATGGTACTAGGTGGATTTGATAAACATCTCCATCCTATCCTTCTAGTAGGGGTAGTCTTCTCCATTGAAGGTTGAAGGCCTTGTAAGAGAAGCTCCTTCTGGCATGTACTGTCCTTCATTGCTCTAATACCAATTGTTGGAGAAAAGATACACACTAGAAGGGGGTTGAAAAATGTATATCAAAAGCTCGCACTTTCAAAAACAATGAAGTAGTAAAAACTTGACAGACGTAGTGATGAAATGTAATAGACGAAGGGACACAATTCTTTTATTCTGGTTCATCTCAAACACAGAGACTACGTCTAGTTCTCAATCCAACTAGATTTAGTTCCACTATCTTTCACAAGATACAAGTATTATTTCAACAAGCCACTTTTGACTCAAACCCAAGTAATCTTTTACTTGCCTCTCTAAGCAAACAACCCCAAGTATTCTTTAACAAATAAGCCTCTCCAGGCTTAATAACCAAGTATTTTTTTAACTACAAGCCTCTCCAGGCTCAATCCTTACAAATAGAAATTTGAAAGGAGTAACAAGGATAGTTTCATCTCTTTTAGACGTGACGCTATGAAAACTAAGCACAAACAAATTGTACTAAACAATGAAAATCCCAAATTTCACCAAAAACTCGAAAACCCCGAAAAATGAGTTTTCATCCAAAACAGCTCAAAATCTTTGAAAATCTCAGCAATTCGTGAGTCCTAGCTCACTACAACACACAACCGGCAAGAAATCCTAACTTCCCTTACCTGAAGATTGGATCAAGATAGCCAAGAAGCAGAATCCCCTTTCCGAAGCTCAACTCGGAACTTTAATCCTTCAAAAGTCAGCTTTCCAGTCTAGAGCCCTTCTCTCTAGAACTTCTCTCTAAAAAAACTCCTCTGCCACAACCTCTATTTATAAACATTCCGGAGTGGCCAGAACGGCCTGTACCAAAACCGGAACGGCCCGTTCTACACCCCTTCATCAAGTGCGAAAATCGCATGCAGAACGGCCCGTTCTAAAATCAGAACGGCCCGTTCTGGAACGCATCCAGAATGGCCCGTTCTCTCTCTAGAACGACCCGTTCTCCCTCCAGAACAGCCCGTTCTCAACCATGATATACAGGTCATTTTCATAGCTTGGAACGGCCCGTTCCAGATTGGGAACGGCCCGTTCTGGGTTACTGAAACACCAACATGCTACGTCACAACAATATCTTTTGCCTTGGTTTGATCTTTGTTGTTTAGGTGAACCTCATGAACACAAAGTGCTCCAAGAAGTTCATCAAGAGTGAGGACTTTTAAATCTCGGGCTTTAGAGATGGTGGTGGCTTTGGACTCCCAGACCTTAGGAAAATTGTCTAGGATCTTGAGATTATTCTAGGCTTTGGAGATTTAGTTCCCAAGGATTTTAACCCATTTGAAATTGTTTGGAATCTTCCAAACATTTCATTAATGGTTTTGTTCTCTTTCATATAGAATAACTCATAGTGCCTCTAAAGAGTGGCAACTTGTTTGAGTCTGATATCTTCAATGCCCTCATGAGTTACCTTGATGGCATCCCATATTTCCTTTACAGTAGAGCAGTTGTAGAACTTGTTGTACTCAGTTCTGGATAGAGAACAAGCAAGTATATATCTTGCTTTAGTATTTTGTTGCAAGATGTTGTAATATTCATGAGTGTATTCATTTTCAGGCTTCGTCACCTCAATGTCACCTTGGGTGATAATCCTCCACAGGTGGTACTAGGTGGATTTGATAAACATCTCCATCCTATCCTTCTAGTAGGGGTAGTCTTCTCCATTGAAGGTTGAAGGCCTTGTAAGAGAAGCTCCTTCTGGCATGTACTGTCCTTCATTGCTATACCATATATGGAGTTACAACGTTAAACAGTAAAAGATCTGGTTAGGATTTAGGTTAAACCAATCATTTGGTCCATAAAGGTAAGGAATCAGTCCATGTATGACAAAGTCTTACGTTTTAGTTCCTATTTTCCCTTACTAGTATACATTGGTCCCTGTTTGTAATATGTTTCTTAAGTTTTACTTTTAGTTCTTATACGTCTAGAGGCACTGATTTTTCTTTTCCCCTTTCATACAGGGGCTGATTCCTAAAGGAAGGTCACTTATAAAGATCAAATGATTAGTTTAGTGTATTTTTGTTTCATCTCGGTTTATGACAAATGATGTGAAACTTCTCTGAATGAAAAAAATGATTTTTCCCCTTTCCGACACTAGATTAATTTGTCACAACAATTTCTTTAACAGTGTTCCATCCAATATGCCTATCCGTGTATTCCACCACCAATGCTGTATGTATTGTCCATAAATCTTTGTTATATTATATTGTTAGGACAATTACATACTACTAATGCTGTATGCAATGTCCATAAATCCTTGTTATATGATATTGTTAGGACAATTACATACTATCAATGCTGTATGCATTGTCCCTAAATATTTTGTTATATTATATTGTTAGGGCAATTATATACGTTATTTTGCTTCACAATTTTGTTTACAAGATGTAATACGGTGATATTAGTATTTTATCGTGGCTTGCTCATGTGTACATCAAATTCTTCAAAAAGATTAATATTTGGATGTTTTCTTACAGAGAATTGCTTTTAGATTTCTATCAATCAAGTAATGGGCGCAAGCCAACTCAATTTATTGTCTTCAGGTATCATTCCAATTCTATCACTGTTATATTTATAGATAACCTGTCATATATGTTCTTTCGGTGAACTAAATTGTTATAAATATATCACTGTTATATTTATAGATAACCTATTACAGTTTCTTTTTTTTTTTTTTTTTTTTAATTGGGAAATAAACTTGTTATAGTATCTAAAATTCATTAATATATGGTTAACTGCTAATATTATAATTTTTACCACTATATTTTTTTCCTTTTTTGTTTTTTTTTTGTTTTTAAGTTTGAGAACATTAGCATCGTTGGATTGACTTATGAGATGGATATTTTTCCACAATTATTCTAATTTTATTATCTTGTAATACTACTGAGTAATACGCTTACCGGTAAGACTATGGAAATAGTAGACACGATGATTAGGAGAAGGATCAACTGGTATTGGGTGGATTTGATGAATATCTCCATCCTATCCTTCTAGTAGGGGTAGTCTTCTCCATTGAAGGTTGAAGGCCTTGTAAGAGAAGCTCCTACTGGTAAGTACTATCCTCTACTACTTCCTATTCTGGATCTTTTTCCTTTAGCACTATTAGATGCTCAATCTCTTCAAAGGCTGAGCTCTGATACCAATTGTTGGAGAAAAAATACATACTAGAAGGGGGATTGAATAGTCTATATCAAAAACTCACTTTTGAAAATAGTGAAGTAGTAAAAACTTGACAGATGCAGTGTTAAAATGCAATAGACGAAAGGGCACAAGTTTTTTTATACTGGTTTGTCTCAAACATAAAGACTACGTTCAGTTCTCAATCTAACCAGATTGAGTTCCACTATCTTTCACAAGATACAAGTATTCTTCTGACAAGCCATTTCTGGCTCAAACCCAAGTAGTCTTTTACTTGCCTCTCGAAGCAAACAACCCGAAGCATTTCAAAACAACTAAGCCTCTACAGGCTTAATAACCAAGTGATCTTTTAACTAAAAGCCTCTTTAGGATCAACCCTTACAAATAGAAATTTGAAAAGAGTTACAATGATAGTTTCGTCTCTTCTAGACATAATGCTATGAAAATTAAGTACAAATAAACTACACAAGACATAATTTATCTACAAGGTATGCACTTTGTTTCTTTTCTATTATTTCCCTTACTTTCTATTTTTGTCTTAAATGAGAATCCCTTGTATAGTAGCTTGGAAGAAATGATCATTGGGTAATCTTGTTAGGATGCTTCGTTTGTCTTCTCTTTGAGATTAGAGAGAGATAATAAATTAGTCGTTATTGCAAGCATTTAATGCATTGCATGAAAATGTTCATCTTTTATCTAATCTTGGTAGCTACTTATCATCATTTTGTTAGGTAAGGTGAAAAGCAGTGGCTAAATCATAACAATGCAGCATGTTTAGAGTTTTTGTCTGCTTTTTTGTGATTTTTGGGATTTTCCTTTCTATTTTCTGATGCAAGGATTGACTTTCCATTCCTAATAGCTTTTTGTGTCTTTAGGGAAGCTATTTCATTCAATTTGTTAAGGAATAAAATATTCAATGCTCTTAATAATAATATAACTTGATAACAAGAAATAAATTCAGCATATAGTTAGATTTTATGCTTTGACTGATGTCCTTCGTCTAAAATAGTCTTTAAGAGAAAAATATTTTGTTTGTTATCATTAAAACTTATAGACTCTTGAGGGATCCAAGATTGTCTTTTGATTTTATAGAAAGGCATTATGTAGACCCTGCTAAAGAAAGAACTTCATCTTTTCTAGTATAGACAACTTCCAAATATGTTTCCATTCTGAAGTTTCTACAGCCTGTTCCTATGCGCATAATGATTAGAATCTCATTGTTGTAGTATAGTTATGCAATAGGTCACCCATCTAGTTAAATGTGTCAATCCCTATCAAATTCATAGGTACATGCACTGGTAAAATGCGATTAGGAACCTCTTGAGGGAGTGATATGTACAAGTTGTTCAAGTTCTAAGAACCCTCATGACAACATTTAACAACTTTGATCTCAGAATTGCTAATGTATACATAGGGAACCAGTTGAGATAGCGATTCCACTCTTAACCAATCTTTATACCAAAAAGAGGAACTTCCTAAACTAAGACAAGGAACAAAGTCATCCTTAAGCAATGGTAATGCTTTAAGAATGTTTGCCCAACCATAAGATTGTTTGCATTGTTCTACCCTAGCCAACACTAAGTGACCTCTCAAATATTTATCCCACATGACCTGCACATAAGGTTTATATGGTGAACTCAAAAACTCCTAGATCTACTTACCAAGAAGGACTATGTTCATCAACACGATTCTCATATCTTTAATCCACTATGCGCAAGTAGTTGAGTGACCGTGGACCATCCCACCAATGACCAAAGCCGAGAGTTACAATCTTTTTCCCAAGATCGATCGACACACTTTATTAATAATGTTGTAGATACCTTACATAAACCACAAACACTACATACCATAAATGAATTGAGGTTAATATGGACTTAATGAGATATAACTTACCAATTTTATTTAGTAACCTTCCTTTCCAAGAGGCTAATCTCTCATTCACACGATCAACTATATGCTAAAAACTTCGCAACTTAGCCCTTCCTTGAATCATTGGCATACCCAAATACTTTCCCATACAACAGTTATGGTGCATGTTCCAAAATTTTTGACCTATCCTTCTAGTAGGGGTAGTCTTCTCCATTGAAGGTTGAAGGCCTTGTAAGAGAAGCTCCTTCTGGCATGTACTGTCCTTCATTGCTCTAATACCAATTGTTGGAGAAAAGATACAATACTACTGAGTAATGCTGATTCCTTTGTATCCCTGCCAATTTCTATTGGCTGTACAGGATTGGATTGTCTGAAAATTACACCTTTTTTTATTTTATATTTTTCTGAAGTAATTCCTTGTATATAAATGCAGTTTAGTGAGTGCAAGATTCACTATCCCTTAAAAATGTTTGTGTTTCCTGTGAATTTATGTGTGGCTGTTAATCAGTGCGATCGGTATAATTTTATGTTTTAATACCTGCTATGTAATTTAATGGTGCTCAATTTTATATTTTCAGTTCCTTGACCGACTGTGACAGATGTTTATTTATATACATGAATAAATACAATTTATATAACTGAATCAAAGATATATTGTGTCTAATTTAAGGAAACTAATAATATTCAACAAATTATATCTAAAATTAGTACGAATTTTGTCAGTATTAGATGAGTGGTTATTAACTTCAAATTTTATGACATATCGACTCACTTTTGGATTTTGGTTGTATCAGTTTCCTTTATCACTTGTTAAGTATCAAGTATTTATTTACTTTCTGAACTGTGTTTTTCATGTTCAGGGACGGAGTTAGTGAATCACAATTTAAACAAGTTTTGGATATCGAGATTAACCAGATAATCAAGGTTACAGTGCAACTCTTCCATTGTCCAGTTTGATCATCTGATTGATTGCTGGAACCCTTATAGTTGCATATTGTTTCGGGTGCCAAGTATGGATTACTCATTTTGTTAAATAGAAAAATGGGGAAATGTTAATATCTTTCTCCTGTGCCTCCTATTTTTTTTTTTAACAAAATTGAAGCTTTTCTTAAAGCAAAATAACCACAATTTTGTAAATTTTGAAAAAATAATTCACCAAAAAGAAGGCTGCTTGAAACATGCATCCAATTAAATGATACTCCTATATTAATGCTTCCTAATTTTAGGATGATGATAAACTATACTATTTTCAGGCCTATCAACATCTTGGTGAGACTAATGTTCCCAAGTTCACCGTGATTGTGGCACAGAAAAATCATCATGTTAAGCTGTTTCTAGCTAATGGACCGGAAAATGTTTCTCCTGGTATGATACTTCTCTTGTTCACATGCATTCAGGTAGCACACACAGGATCATTGTAATATAAATTTTCCTCTTCAGGGACGGTTGTGGACACTACGATCACCCATCCAAGAAATTATGATTTCTACATGTGTGCTCATGCAGGGATGATTGTAAGTGTACCTATCTAGCTTCCACACTTTTATTTTTCTCATTTTACAAGCATTTTAGTAGCATGTGGTGATAGTCAAATATTTGACTGCCAATTATCTTTTTTAATGTGCCTTCTTTTTTGGGTTTCCTCATCAAATAATAGGGTACATCTAAGCCTGTTCATTATCATGTGCTACTTGATGAGATTGGTTTCTCGGCTGATGGCTTACAAGATTTGATCTATTCGCTGTCCTATGTGTATGAATTCTACCTTTTGTTTATACATTGTTTCACCTACCTCTGAATTGTCCATGTATTAATGCATGTAATTATTTCAGGAACCAAAGGAGTACAATTGCAACCTCAGTTGGTAATTTCATCTACGCCTCTACTATAAGAATTGTCTTTTGCATGAGGAAAGTGGTTAATTTATGTATTATAATAATTTCCCTCATTTTTTTTCTCCTTCAGTGGCACCCGTATCGTATGCTCACCATGCTGCAGCTCAGATGGGACAATTTTTTAATTTTGATGATTTATCAGAAACCTCTGATTCAGAGGGAAACATACCCATTCCAGAGCTTCCAAGGTTGCATAAGAATGTCAGGAGTTCCATGTTCTTCTGTTGATGCGTATGGTAGGGTGCTGACAGGTGCAAGTAAATACATTTTTTTAGTCAAAAGTAAATGCATTTAGATTAATCAAAGTGTAAGTGTACATTTGGTATATCTGCAAACATATGAAGCCCAAATTTTGTTTTATGCGAAGATGGATTCGTGGGCTTGAGTTTAGACAGTCTACATGTTAGTGATATGATTTGTCATTTTGAAACATCAATCATGGCAATTGAATAGTTTTTATTTTGCAAATATTGCTAGCTACGGAATAGTTATTTCCGCTCTCTCTCTCTCGTTGCAAATAGAATGTGATTTTATGTTGTCAAGCATCTTTGATTTCACTATATTGGTGATAGCTGCGAGAACGTGACAGGAATATATCTTTCCATAAAATATTACAAATTAGAAACTACAATTTGAAGAGTGAGACTCTTACTCTTCTAATTTTCTTAATAGACATTTTAAATATATTTATTTTTCTCATTATGGTGTACATTTTATATACTAGTAATTAGTAAAAATAAAATCATTTTATCATTAGAGAAATGCTAGTAATATATTTCTTAAATAGACTTGTCAACTAAAATTTATTAAAATAATTGACATTCTCTTATAATTTTGCAATTTTTAATAAAATTTAACTAATTCGGCATTGAAGGGTGTTAGAAAGGATATTGGTAGTATTCTTATCATTATTTGTATATTTGATATTTTATTTTATTTTTCATTTAATCTATCATATTTTATCTATATTTCTAAATTAATTTTTAATATTTTTAAAAAAATTATCAATAGTTAATAACATCATCACAATTTAAATTATTCAGTGAATTGTAAGACTTGCTTTGGTACAAAGAGGTTGACTTTGTGTTTTCAAATTTGATTTTTGGCTATGTTGAATAATGTTAAGCTGATGCAAGTTATGTCTTGTGAATGTAGATTTTTCATTGATTGTCAATATACGATCATGTCTATAGATTAAAAAAAAATTTAAATTATAACATTTATTATATAAATTCAAAATATAACATTTATTGTATATATTTTAAGAGAAAATAGGTGATGTATTGACTATAAAATAATTTTATATTATTATCCAATCACAAACCATCAATTATCATAAGTTAATGACCTTTTTGATTAATAAGTACAAAAGTTCTTCTAAAAATGATATCTAATTGGTTGATAGTGTAAAATTATTCTAGATTATAAGCATATCATCATTAAACTCAAATTTTAATTATGGAAAATAATATTATTTAATATAATGTACAAATTAAAGTACTAATAATATATAAATCCTGTATAAATTATGGTGTTAGTAACCAAGTTAATCTTTTGTTGCACATTAACATTGAGTTGTAGGGTGGTTAATTCCTCAAACTTGTTTTGTAGCTTGAATTGGATAATTATCTTATTTTGCATTAATAAGTTGTCTGCTATACTGATAAGATAGAGTTATTTTATTTTATTATTTATTCTATCTTTTGAGTCAATATAATTGTTATCCAATGGCGAGAGTTGAATTAGGAAACGTGTATGGTAGAGGTATCAAATAGGCTAATTCTGCTCGGCTCGATGGACCAACACATGGCAAGGTTAGCTCAAATTTTCAGTGGGCCACTAATTTTATATTCTGATTCAAATAGGCCCATTTTATGTTTTTCTTTTATATTTTTTCAATTTTTTTATAAAGATAAAAAAAATATACTAATCCAAATAGATTTGGCAAGTATCTGTCTCCAAATAATTGACATGTTTGACTCACTAGGTTAGGTTTAACTCAACCTGTAAGCTACGCCATTTTTGACAATTTTAGTGTGCAAGAGATATAACACTCATCTACATATAAAGTTTTATCTTTCCTTATGAATTTTAAATGATCAACTCTTAAAATAAATATATTTAAAAATATTATTTTTTGTTTTTTATAAAAATAATTTTTTTTATAAAAATAATTTTTTTTAAAAAAATTGAATCATTTGATAAGTTTAACAAGTTGAAATAGTTGGTAGAGACACGATTAAAGTCAACTTCTCCATAATTAAATTAAAATTATTATTTAAAAAAATTAACACATAATACTAAAATCCCTATGACTCATAGCGACTCTATGATAATTGATTCCAAAGATGTAAATAGTTTCAAATCTCAAAAGCATAAATAATTTTAAATCTCAAAAATGTAAATAATTTCAAAATAATCTCATTTATGTAATTAATTTTTAAAATAACTCTACAATGATCAATCAATCTTAATAAACATTATTATTTGGTACTAAAGTTTTTTTACCCATAAATATCCACTACTAATCACATATATTTCGAAAAATAGAACAAGTTGAAAAGCAAATATGTAATATATAACAATTTTCTTTTACTTTTCTTTTGTTAGACCAATTCGCAAAATATCATTCACATCATATTGTATTTTTCTTAATTTACATTTGAAAAATGTAGGCCGGGTAGAAGAATTTTGAGGGTTAAGACAACAAAAAAAAAAGACTTAATATAATCTACATATTAATTTTTTATTATTTTAAGTTGTAAAAAAATACTAATCTAAATAGATTTGGTAGGTATCTATCTCCAAATGATTGACATGTTTAACTCACTAGATTAGGCCTAACTCAACCTGTAAGTTTGGCCATTTTTGACAATTTTAGTGTGTAAGAGATATAACACTCATCTACATATACTAAATTTTTTATCTTTTTTTTATGAATTTTAAATGATCAATTCTTAAAATAAATACCTTTAATTTTTTTTTTATTTTCTATAAAATTAAATTTAAAAAAAAATTGAGCCATTTGACAAATTTAACAAGTTGAAATAATTAGTAGCTACACTTTTAAAATCGCTATCGGCTGTAATGACTTTCTCATGATTAAATTGAATTTATCTTTTAAAAAAATTAAAAGATAATACTAAAGTCACTATGCCCAATAACGACTCTATGGTAACCAGTCTCAAATGTGTAAATAACTTGAATTTTCAAAAGTATAAATAATCCTAAATCCTAAAATATAAATAGTTTCAAAACAACCTCATTTACATAATTAATATTTAAAATAATTCTACAATGTTCTTTAATAATACCATTATTTCTTTACCAAAATCGAAGTTTTGCTAATCATTTAATAAGCAAGTTGAAAAGCAAATATGTAATATATATAACAGTCATCAAACTTTCTTTTACTTTTCTTTTGTTAGACCGTTTCGCAAAATATCATTCACATCATATTGTATTTTTCTTAATTTACATTTGAAAAATGCAGGCCGGGTAGAAGAATTTTGAGGATTAAGACAACCGAAAAAAAAAAGACTTAATATAATCTACATATTAATTTTTTATTATTTTAAGTTGTAAAATAATTTATTAATATTATTATTTTTATATTATTCTTCTAATTTTTATTTAATTTTTAAAAATCAAAGCACTCCAATAAATTAACATTGACATCCGTTTAAAACACAAAAAACTCGTGTGAATAAAGTGATAAACCAAAAAAAAATATTTCAAAATAATAGTTTTGTGTTTCATGAAAAGAAGCAATGCAACAATAAGTGTGAAACTTACGATCGAAGGTGAATACCAAAAGAGTAATGAAACTAAAAATCAAAAGAGGAATCAAGGTTTCTTCGTAGTCAATCTTACATTCTTAGTACGTACCTCTGGATCTACGAATTCTTCTACCAGCTTGATCAACCTTCTAGAACGATCGATCGATCAGAAGATTCATCGGTTTCAAGTCTGAATGCAGAATCCTATGCGAGTGACGTTACGCCACAGTGAAGAGTGGTTGGAATTCGGAACACAAATCTAAAAATTGCAAAAGAATATAATGAGAGTTGAGGACCTAGAATTTGGAATTTAAACTGTTTCAAGTCCAAAACTAAGGGCGTGTTTGGATAAAGGAGAAAATGTTGACGTGGTTGAGTCATTTCATGGCGACACTCTGAGAGATGATAACTGATAATTTGATAAGAGAAGAACGGAGGCTTGCTGCGTGCCAGATTCATCGCTAGTTAGTTGCTTATGCTTAAATTTAATGGAGCAAAAGTTTACGCGGTTTATTTTCTACGTAGGAAATATTTATTTTTTTTTATTAAAAAATTAAGTTTTGAATACAAGTTAGTATTTTAATTATATAAAGGATATCCTTTATATATATATATATA